CGTTCTGTTAATGAAGCGAAACATAAAGTAATTCGTCAGTTTCATTTATTTTGGAAATTTCCACACACTAATAAGCAGAATTAGGTGTTAGGATACAGTGATGAGGCAGATGTCTGTCGGGCTTTTGGAGAAACACAGTCAGAGAAACCACAAAATAGTCCACAGTAACCCAGGTATGACTGATTGCACACAGAGGTGACAGTTTTTAGTTGTTGTTTTTTTAAAGTTGACTTCTTATGAATAATGCCATTATGACTTTAATGTAGGAGGTACATTTGGTGCCATAGATTCACTGGGTGAGAAACATTCTGCGATAAGTTTCTAAGTAATACCCAGATAAACTTTTCTTGGTAGTTTTGAAAGGGTTGCTTACTAAGCTGGCACACAAAAACATTGAAAGATAACTTAAGTGTGGTATCAGTGCTGAGGTCAGGAAACCACACAGCAACTATGGAGTTTAGACATCTTATATGTCAGCTTGTAAAATTTGATAATGCATCCCACTGATAACGATACTATATGCATGCTTCTTCTTTTTTTCTTTTTTTAACCCTGTGAACCTAAAACCTGCCAGCATGTTTGAAAGACGTCTCTTTTTTTTTTTTTTTAAATCGCCAACATTACAACATTTATCAGAGGCAGAGAAAGTAAAAACAGAAAGTAAATTGTTGGGTTTTCAGTTTTCTGATGAACTACTGATGGTTCATAAATCTAATTGTAAACTTGTGGTATATCATCAAAAAATCATTTTATTCGACGTGTCTGTTATTTTTTTTTAATTAAATAAATTGCTTGCTGGCTGAAGCACGACCAGGAAGCCATTAATGAGTCAGCTGTGATCAGTGGTGACACGACAGAAATAGAAGTTGTAGTAAAATATCAGTAATAAGTAAACTCACTATTTCCTTTTTGTATTGGTAACACATGTGGGCACCTGGAAAAAATGTAATTCAACTTAGTTTGTTTTTTATTTGTTCATTTATTGTTTTTAGATTTATTTATGACATACTGCACAAATGGTATTTTCTCTACTTCTAGTTATGGTTGTGCTGTTTCCACGGAGGTGCGTGACTTTAAATTGCAGTAAAACATTATAACACAGTGAATAAAAATGTGACAGAAGCCCATTGCCTTCGTACATTCTGTATGATGTGTAATTAACCAAAAGAATGTGACACAGTTCACATTTACTTGAACAAGACGGTCAAATTCAGCTCCAAAGAAAAAGAGTCAAAACATGAATTTTGGGTTTTTTTAATTTTGATGATCACGATATCAGAGTTCATCCTTTCAGAATTCCCATTAAAGCACTTTCAAAATCCTATTCTATAGTTGTTTGGTAACATTTCTCTGCTCACTAGAACTACATCTTCTAAATGATGCAGAATCACCTGATTGAAGCTCACAGGAATTTCCGTGTAAAGTGACGTACGCTGGCTCTTTATCTGTCTGCATCTCTCCCATTAACACTCAGAGACAAACCCGAAGGCCTTAAATATTTGAACCCAGTGGAAAATATTTTTGAGACACAAATGCACTGAGTTTCGGGCGTGGAAGCCGGGCTCATGTCACAAACATGTTGGACTCACCAGAGCGTGGTCGAAGCTGAACGTGCTTATGTAATAGGCAGAGATGTCGCTGTCAGCGAGGGGCTGAGATATCTGGGCGACTATTCCACATTCATCTAAAATAACAACAAGGAAAAAGACAAAAAAAAAAGATGCTTAAACAGCACAGAGAATGTAATCACATAGCAATGCAAAATCTCCAATTGTTTGCTTATCTGTGTTTTAACCAACAAGGATGTAAACTAAACTTCCGTCCCACTACGAGTCCAAGAATTGCTTCCTGTTTCTACTTTAACTGACATGATATCTTATTTATTATAAGCCACAGAAAGAAATAAAAAAAAAAAAGCACTGAACTTTTTTTATTTTATTTAGTTCCTAATCACATCTGCGTAGATATTTAGGCTAAAAAAAAATTTGAACATTCAATGACAACAAACACACCTGCAATTACATCTTAGAAAAACAAAGTGATTTATGTATTATCACAGAGCCTGTTCGTCATGTTACAGCGTTTCAAACAGCTTGTCTGCAAATGTTAGCTTTCCATTTACAGACATTTTTTGCAATCCAGTAAAATGCCAAATCACTGGTAAGACTCACAAGGCATTTAAAGAGCCCATAATATGCAGATGTACATGTTCATATTTGTGTTTTTGGGATCTACGTGAATACAGCCGTACGTTTTATTGCTAAAAAAAACACACACATTTTCTGCAGCAATGAAACATTTCTTTTTAGCTCCTGTCTCTTTAAGGCCTCCATCCTGAAAAAGCCTAATCTGCTCTGATTGGTCGTCTGAGCCTGTCCAAGTAAGGCAACACTAGTGACACGCTGTGATCTAGCATCGGCAGAGACCTAACAGGAGTCTAGTAATTTGTTTAAATGCTCATGAAACTAGCCATCAGGTTGGTGTCATGCAAATGTGTTACACTGTGATGTAGACAAGTAACTGGATTTCAAATGAGGTGTTTCAGAAGGGCTTTTTTTTTTTTTTCTGTGTGAGATAAAAACTCCCTTTTTTTGCAGATGTTTTACATGCATATAAACCTACAGCACACTTACGGAAACCCAAAAGCATAATAGGGGCTCTTTAAAGACGACTAAGTGCTCATTACTAGCTCACTAGATCTGACAGTCGAGCATTTCTTCTTTAGATTTTGAACAAATTAGGTCAGTTTGAACATCTGATTATCAATAATCACCTGATTAACCCCAGAACAGGGGAAGTGGTTCTACAAGAAACTGTGACTTAACAACGTGTGCAGAATTTTGTAAGCGGCCTTACCAAAGCCTAGAGGTTGTCCCCCAATGCGAACCATCCTCCACAGCTCCCCGGAGGAGCTGGTGAAGAGAAGGTCGGCAGGAAACCTAAAGCACAAAGATCGAGATTTCTACAAAGAACCCAAAAGGAAACATAAGCTAGATCATGTCAGAGATGGACGGGGAGAGGCTCTCTGTAGCGATCAGATAAAAGTTTGCAAATACAAATATAGCAGCATAAGCAATGCAGTGAAGTAAACTGAAGTACAACATCTGCAGCTGCATTGTTGGTATTCAGCTGAAGTAAAAAAGCATTACAGGTGTAAAATGTAGCAGCATAGTAAAGTAACTGCATTGTTTTTTGCGTGGAAATCTTTAAGGTTGCTGTCATTTGTGCTGCTCCGAAGTTGTAACGGCGCACATGTGACAGATGTGGTCGGGGGTCAGTGTGAGAAATTCAGAATCCTCACCGTCTCTGAGCCTCAGTGTCCATCACCAGTGAGATGTATCCATCGATGAGGGAGAAGGAGAAGAACTTGATACAGTCTAAGTCCCGGCTTGGAGATGATTGGGAGTCTTCTTTAGGGCTGAAGAGGAAGAGACACGGTCAGTAGGACAGCACAGAGGAAAGGCAGCAGGATTTGTTTAAGCCTTTAGTAGGTTTGAAAGACATGTCTTCTTTCTTTTTTAAATCACAAAATGATATCATTTATCAGAGGTAGAGAATCGCTGGATGTTGAACTTTCTGATGGTCCTTGAACTAAATGGTTTGGAAACTTAACTAAACTATAATCTAAATATTTCACCAACATTAGTTTGCTTTGTGGGTCTCATTTAAAAAAACAAAAAAAGCAAAACTAAATTAAATTGTTTGCTCTAAACATATTCTGTAAAAGCATATCATCATGTGCTCCTTGGTGCAACCAGGAAGACAAAAACAGTGTGACCATCACTCACAAGACAAATATTCAAGGACTTTTCAGGTGAACTCGGTTGAACTGCAGGCTGTGCTCACACAGAGCACGAATGACCAAATGATGGAAACAAGTTAAAAATGTAAGCAGCAACATATCTACAGTACAGGAAATCATGTTTTATTTATTTAATTTTTACAAGTATTGGGAACCCCTAGTATCACTTTTTAAAAAAAACTTTAAAAAAATAAATAAATAAAGTACATTTAAAAAGAGTGACATTATAGTGAAAGAAAGCGGCCGAATGAAACTAAAACTTTTTCTAAAAAATAAAAGGATTTATTTTAGTAGTGAATCAGAAAATGTCACCAATTCTCTGGTCAGCAAGGCTCATATTTAACTTGTCCAAAACACAATCAGTGGGAAATAAAACAATTTGAAAGCAATACTTGTGATAATGGAGGCATTCATCATGATTTATGTAAAACGATCTCCAACCTCCAGCCTGAGCTGATGTCTACTCTGGATCGTGTGCTGCCATCTTGTGCTTCACGCAGGTACTGCAGCGATGAGAGCAAAACTGCACCTCACCTGTTGGAGTAAAAGAGGACGTCGATGAGCGTGGTGGCGATGGACGGTAGTGTGTCCGGGTCCAGGGACATGACGCAGAACTGGTTCTGTGGGATCAGCACCGGGTGAACCGTGGGCTGGATGGCTGGAAGAACACGGGCAGAGTCGGTTTATAGGAATACACACAGTGGAACCAGAAGTTTATATACAGTGTATAAAAAGACATAAAACCTTTTTTTTTTTTCTCACTGTCTGACATTAAATCAGACAAAATTCTTCCTGTTTTAGGTCAGTTAGTATCACCAAAATTATTTCTATTTGCTAAATGCCAGAATATTGAGAGAGAGAATTTTGTATGTATACCCAAAAGTCATACAGTTTAAAGGCAATGCTACAAGTGTATGTAAACTTCTGACATTGATGAAATTAATAAAAAAAATCTCTAAAAAAAATTCTCCCTCACATTACTCTGGCACTTAGCAAATAGAAATAATTTTGGTAATCCTAACTGATCTAAAACAGGAAAAGTTTAGTCTGATTACATGTCAGATTGTGGGGAGAAAAAAAAGTATATTTCTCTGTTTATATTGTTAATATAGACTTCTGGTTTCAGCTGTGAATAGAACATGGAACAATAAACAGCTCCAACACTGTACATGTACATTATAATGAGCCTTACTGATGCTTTTTGTTTTTCCTTTAAATATATTTTTAACCATTACTCTAAAAGATGCCCTTCTTGTAAATAAGAAAGGATGTACTGCATTTTAAATCACGTAAAAGCTGACCGAGAGATTGTTTCAAAGCTAAACTTTTGGTTCTAATTAAAAGCTTAATGGGAGTTAAATCTACTCTCATGTGTTTAAATATCAAAGAATCTCCTCACATTTTAACATCCACTTCAATAAAAACAGATTAAGTAGTTGAATGTGGCTACAAGCCCAAACACAGCTTCGAAATTAAGATCTTCTTCATATAGATGCTGCATAAAACACAGTAACTTTAAACTACATGAAAAATAAGTATTCATGTTTAATAATTTTATCCATCCTTGTTGCTTGAGGAAAGGTTCATTTAGTTGTATTTTACCTTATTCTCCTTTATAACCAATCTGTCTATACCTGCCAAGTTTTCTCAGCTTCATTTTTTATCCTTCAATCCTGCAGATAAAAACATTTAACTGGTTGTTGAGTGGGAGTTGCATTTGTACGTGTTGTTTGCATGGTCCAAAACAAAACAGTACGGCTGGCGGGAGAAACGTTTCAGTCATTCTTAGACGTTGACACAACGCCGACATCTTCGAGATGAAAAGATATGAAAGGCTGCGAAAGGGTGGACACATTCTTTTTTTTTTCCTGCGTGTTCCGACATCATCGTACAGCACGTTCTGTACTTTATTACCACGTAAAAATAACTTCCTGCGAAGGACGCGGCGATTCAGCGCGGCTCAAACGTCCCTTCATGTCTGCAGCCTGGTGCAGCCCCGGCATTGTTTCATTGTACAAAGTCGTACTGTATATCGCTGTGTTTGTTTAAGTCAAACGGGGGGGAAGGTGTCCTTGAGCAACAGGTTCCTCTTGCTAAAAATACAAAAACTGCATTGGAGAGAGGCTGGTTACGGCGCATGAACGCTGACATTTAGGTTGGGTCTCATTATGTACGAATAAAGGCACTTTCACACGCAGATGACTGAACACCAAATATTCCAGTGAGAGAGTGACTTTTACAACATATTCATCAACGCATTAGTAAATTCTTAAACTGGTTTTACTGGCTTTGAATGACAGTTTGATGTTAGTGCAACCAAATGCTGGCGTTTGTTTTAAAGTTCATTCTGCATGTAGAATGGCATTTACTAAATTGTTTTCTGAACAGTGTTTTATTCCTACATTGGTTCATTCACCCGTTTGAACCCCCAAGCAGTTTTTGCTCCTGTCACATCTGTACTCACTGTGGGCTCATTTTCCAATGCAATAAAAATCCTGCACGTCTATACCACATATACCAGGGATGTCAATCTCAAAAACACAGTGGGCCAAAATTTAAAACCTGAACAAAGTCGCGGGCCAACATTGAACAAATGAACCTTTAATATGGACCGAAGCAAATTTTGCTTTAACATTGAATATGGAACAAGCAACGCTTATCACCATACATTATATAGAACTTAATAGTGGAGACATGCAAAATCAAATTATAAATAAAAAAACACATCAATGGCACAGTTGTAGTGTGAAGTCGCTATGCCTACTGTCACAGAGGAGAGGGAGTTTCTGGGTCCTGTCCTGATTGACGCGCCAAAACAACAACAGGGCATTATGGGATTTGTAGTATTATCGGTGAATGCGCTGTACAGTATAATACCGGGGGCAGCTCTAGTAGTCATTTGGTATTGTCTTGCGGGCCAAATATCATTACAAAGTGGGCCAAATTTGGCCCGCGGGCCAGAGTTTGACACCCCTGATATATACCATAGCTAGAAGTAGAAAAAACAAAAAATGTGTCCTGTGCAGTATGACAAAGTTCTAATAAATCAGAAAAAAAAGAAAAATAAATTTGCTCATTTATTTTGCAAAACATTTAAAAACCTGGAATCAACATGTGCGACATTTTTGAAAGTTCTCACAAGTGTGAGTAAAACTGGGAAAAAGAGACGAAATTAGTGTTTTACAAAGGTTTTTTTTATTTTATTTTTTTTGCAGATTCTGTTGCTTGCTTTATTTTTGGCAAATATTTATACAGGTGAATAAGAAAAAGGTGATTTTAGTGAAATATTTGCCCACTGATTAGTTCAAGGACTGTCAGACAGCCCAACACCGTGCAGTTTTCTTTGATTTTACTTTTCTTTGGCTCTGATAAATGGTTTGAATTTAAGCATTTTTAAGGAAAAGTGCCTTTCAAACCTGCCGACAGGTTTTGGACTTTAGAGGTTTAAGCAGCTTTATTTTCTTGCCTATAAACAATAAGAAAAGATGCAACGTGTTCCACTCATGTGTCTATATTCAACTTTGTGCGAGTTGCAGGATTGTTTCTGTGACTTTAGCAGACAGAGTGTTAAAGCGGCATAAAAGCGACTCTTTTTTTTCCCCCCCCAACATGAAATCAACGCCAGAATATCTGCAGCGTGCACAGAACTGAATGTCTGAAAAGAGCTGCTTTTACACTTTAACTTGAGTAGTTTTCAGTTAATTCTGTTGTGTTTTAACTTCACTGACGTGTCTGATTTGGGGCCTTGTGAGCGTGTTTCAAGCTCACATGATGAGGAAATGTTTGTAAAACGATCCAGAGGGTGGCGCTAAAAGATCTTAACATCCTCCTCTGACATGAGCTCGATCGATCCCTGAGAACTGAGTGAACTCGTACTAAACCGTACCTTCTTTGCCGTTCTTCTGGAGGCCGTTGGAAACGTCCTGACAGTGCACGGGGAAAGACTCTCCTCCCACCTCCTTGTAGATGTTGAACTCCTCCTCCAGAGTGCTGACGACCACAGATAGGTCTTTCTCTCTCACCTACACAACACAACATGCTTTCTGAAATCCGCAAACTCCTCGATCAGCATCCTGTCAGGTTGTTTTCAGGGTAAGACACCGGCTCACTTTCAGGAAGTACTTTCAGCGCGTCAACCATTAATAAACTTGCTGACACGGACGTCTGTCAAGGTGCAATGTCTTTTTTTTTTTCTTTTGCCTGCTTAACATTTTCACTTGTAATACATCAGCTAACTTTTTTTTTTTAGTCTCCTCAGCTCTGTCTGGAATTAAATCCTTCACTGCAAAAGTGCTGAGTGGACAAAATGCAGACGCAGTGGCTTCTTTTGTCTGGCAGAGGTCAGCAGGTGGATAACTTCAGTGCAAGATTACAGGTTGGGAGTTTGGTTTTTTTTAATGCATTTATGCAAAGAGTTTGAAAACAGCTCTAAATTATACAACAGGCTTAGAGTGCCCTCTTACATTTTAACAAGGTAAGTGTAAAAGCTGATTTGACTGGAGTGGAATAGAGTGGGGCAACAAAAAAATAGCTAAAAGCAGACGACACTCACCAGAATAAAGTCGGTCTGATAAGTGGAGAGCATGAAGACCGAGACGTGCTGCTGGGCAAGGGGGGCGATGACCGACTTGGCGATCTTGGTCACCCCAACGGCCTGGGAGCTGCTGGAGGCGTTGCCGTTGGAGACCACGTTGAGCGGCAGCCAGATGGAGCTCTCCACCTGGAGGTGCTCCGAGGGCTGCAGCTCTGAAGGGGGAACGGGAGGAGGAGGGTTGGTCAGTGGGTCTGAGCGCAAACTGCATCTCAAATCATGCAATTTTCTCATCGACTCAATGATTTAGAATCCTTTAATCACATAAAAAAATGATATTTATGAAGATATTTGTGAAATTTTACACTAATTTGTCAAATACTTTGAAAAAATTGCATTGAAATTTGAAGCTATGTTTAACACAACATCTCTGGAACAGTTAAAGCTAAAAGCCTGAAATCTTTACTGTTATTACTCAAGGAGCCATTGATTTGGAATAATGCAATATTAGACAAGTAGATCAAAGAGTGTCTGATCATAGGGGAGTTAAAGTATGAAAAATATTGAAGTCGTCATGAAAAGTCCCAAATATTAACAAAAAAAATATCATGCTGAAGTCAACCAGTGACATTTTCTGAACCACATGTGGCTGCACGTCACATTAAAACAAAACAAAACATGTTGAATATCTTTAATCTAAAATGCTTGGTTCAAAAATGAAAAAGAAAGTTGTTTTCATTGAACTTGGATAACTTTTTTTTATATAAGTTTAAGCTGCTGTACCAGAAAAACAACCAAAATGTTGCTAGATAGCCTCATTAAAAGTAGAACAGAAAAGTTTTGAGGTTCCAGAGCGTGCTGAAAGTGGGTTGACAAAATGTTAACTGTCACAACAACAAGAAAATGAATTTTATGAGGAGGAGTTCATTCTGCAGGTGCATGACTCCCAAAACTGTGGGATTACTACAGTGTTTTAAGTACAGCTGTCCACTGGTAAACACAGGAGGGTGGCGAAATACTGCAAAACATTAGCAAAACATTCAACAACGCTCCCAGTAATAGGTTTATATCATGTGAGTCTAACGACGTCAACTTAGCAGGGCCACAAATCCAGCTTCATCTACTTTAAAGTAAACTAAAATGAAGCAGAATTATTGATTCATGTGCCGAGGGAAAAGTTTTTTTAAAACCCATCAAACACAGTGAAGAAGACCAGCAGTCGCAAGCTTGAACATGACATACATACTGTACTGTATAGAATCCATAAAGAGCTGTCAAGAAACCAGCATTTCAACAGCAACATAGTGATTTAGAAACAAAAAAATAGAAGCCAATGAAGGCTTTAATTCAGGGGTGTCGAACTCGGGTCCTCGAGGGCCGCAATCCTGCATGTTTTAGATGTTTCCCTCTTCCAACAAATGATCAGCTCATCATCAAGCTCTGCAGAAGCCTGATAACGATCCTGATCATTTGAATCAGGTGTGTTGGAAGAGGGAAACATCTAAAACATGCAGGATTGAAGCCCTCAAGGACCCGAGTTCGACACCCCTGATTTAATTCATCACAGCAGCTTGACCTCGGCTAAGTCTCCTGATATTTTTGTAGCATAAAAAATAGATTTTTGTGACGTTTCAAGCGAATCAAAGACGGTCGAGCCGATGATGTGAGATGGAATAACATAGATGATGCATGTTTGTGAGGCTGTACGCCATCAGGCTGCTCTCTTGTGCTGCTGCTGCTCGGTACAAAGCAGAAACACTTCCTCTCTCCCACCTGCTGTCTCCTCCTTCGCCACAGAGACCTGAAACGTCCTCGCTATTTATACCGCAAAGCGCCACAAGTGGAAATTATGCCCAGGAGAGGCCAGCGGCACCTACACCACCGCCGCCGCCGCCACCGCTCCAAGACGCCTGGCAGCAGAGTGCGACTTGACACCAGTGAATTTATGTGCTCAGATGTTTAGTTGAGGTAGGGAAAGGGTCACAGTTCAAACAGGGGGCGTCCTCAGAATGTAACATCCTGAGTGTCTGAGCCAAAATGGAGGAGCAGGTTTTAACTCTTTGTCATAAAACCAGATCAGAGTGGATGTTATGTGTTGATCCACAAAGCGAACAAGAAGTTGGAAGAAAGGGACACTTATCTTCTATTAATACTGAGCCCTTTGTCGACAACGTTAATACAAAACACACTTCATAGTACTCATTGGGAGGGAAAACATTCCTTCCACGTCTACAGTTCACCTCCATCGGAAGTTTCGGAGGCATAAAACTTTTTTTGGTTAGTGTTTCATTAACGTTCGTTTATCTAAAAGCAATATGAATAGACCTCCTGCAGTGAATACTCCTTTTTCTGCTTCTTTATTCCCCTTCAAAGCGCCACTGTTCTGGTTGGCATAATTTGTCAGAAACAGCCCCTCGTGGCTTCGCTACACCAGCTTTCACCTCTTAAAATAGGCACTCGGTTAGAAGGAGAGCAGAGGAGACAAGAGAGTACCGGAGCACCCGCAGGCAATATATGCCTTTAACATCTATATCTACGTGGAGGGACCGGACAAAAAAATTGCAGAATGAGGAAGGGATGTGACTGTGAAGCGGTTTGTAGTCAGACAGAGAGGGGAGCATTCAAGAGGAATGGTGTAAAATGCAAAGAGTCTAGCTATGTATTAACTTTCTGACTGGTTGAATAATTGTTTACTGCAGGATATGAAATAATGCACACCTACGAAGGTGCAGTGTTTTTCTGTGATGACTATTGCTTTCAGGAAATTTGCAAGACAATATATTTTTTTTTAAATCCAAAAGAAAACAGGTGCATTAAATTGCATTTGACCCTTTGCAAGTATCAAGAACCAAACAGAAGACGAAGCTAAACTGTACGAAGGCCATATCCACAACAATACGTTTTATTTTAAAACACAAAACTTCTGCTATGTTTATGCTCAGTGTTGCGGACCTTGTTGTCTCTGCTAACAGCTGTTGTGCAGTGAAGAAAAACTCTTACTTTTCACCATTGTTGTACTTCTCTCTGTAGTATTCTTAATTTTTGTGGCATTAACATTCCCATTGTACAAGACTGACTGGTTAGTTAACACGGAGATGAGGGGTGTTAATGAATACTTGATGATATTTTAAACAATTAAGAATATAATAGCCAAAAAGGCAGAAGAGTTTAAGGCTTAGAAAATGTATTGTAGTGTGACTGAAGTACCTGGCTGCACCACCAGGTGGAGCCTCTCGCTATTTATTGGGATGGAGTTACAGGTGTGTTTGCTGATCGCCAGTTAGGGCCCATAAATAAGTGCATCTCCCTGCTGTCTAACTGCTAACTGTTACATTCATGATTCAAGATAGCTGCAGGGCAGCTGTTTGGTTTGGCTAGCAACTCGATTCTAATGCTAAGCTAGGATTTTCATGCTAACACAGGCTGGGAGCTGAGTGTCTGTCAGCAGAGAGGAGCTGAAGCTGCTAATGCTGAACACATTCAGGAGCAACAGGACTCTAATTACATGTTTCCAACAACATTCAGACTGAAGTGATCTGCTGCTCTGCCCGAAGTAGAAATATACTTTACTGGTAACAGTAAATAAAGACAGAGTTACTGGATTCAAAGTTGCTGCAACAGTACTTGTGGACATCTGTTTCACCTGAGCATCTGTTTGCAGCCTGTTGCTCACCACAGCCAACAAGTTGCTCCATCGTGTAGATCAGGTGAGAGGATTATTTGGATGTTAAACCGATATGACTCAAGTCTGCAGTGAAATGATCAGTAACACTGTTTACTGTGGAAGACTGCAGCTCATTTGCTGTGGAACCCGGAGTTCATGCGTTCTTCAAATTCCTAATATGACCAAGCTGATTTTGTGGTAAACATTTAGTGGTTAAACATGGTTTTATCTGCATATGAAGAAAAAAGTCCACTGTATTTTATATATTTGCACGATTAACTGACTACTGATTGTTAATATGGCTGAAAAATTGACGAGGAAATCGTTTAAAAATTTGCTTCCCTGACAAAAATTATGTCTGAAATGGAGATACATCGCTAATCTGTACAGAGACCAGTTTTGTTTTTTAAAATGCTGTTTTTGAACTGAAAAATACTCAGATCCACTAATCCTATGTTGGTGATGTTCTCCACTGAATGCATGAGAGGGGCGACCGTCTCACCGTCTTATTACCGACATCAGAGGGTAATTATACCATTTCCCCCCAACAAAAATACTCATCGCCAAACTGGAAGCGGGGCAAAACTACACTCTGTTTTTCAAGAAGATACGTTTTCTGGGCATTGTATCTCGGACAGCCTTATTTTCCCTACATTATATGTTAGTCGACACCCATCCTACATGTGAGGTTTGTGAGGGAGAACAAGGAAGGAAGGAAATAACTTTAGAATGGTACAACAACAGAGTCTCATGTTGTGTCCCAATACAAGATCACAGACGAGTTGTGGCCATGACTTTAGTATCTTGTGTGTTCATATTGAAATTGGCAGTTGTTTCCCTAAATTGTTGCTTTGGACTATGGTTTTCTATTTGTGCCCTTCACATGTCACCTGGGATAGGATACAAATCTGGGAACACAAAGCCCTGCCTGGTAAAAGTGACGAAGGATGTACATGCACCGGGGTGTTTTACCTTTGAATCCCTCCTCGTCAAGGACGACGGTGTAGTTCTCCGGTGTCTCTGTCAGACTGAAAAACTTACATCTGAAACGGGAGAGGAAGTGCAAGAGGGAGAGAGGCATGAGGTTGGAAATTGAGAAAACATGACAGGCAGGAAGTAAGAGAGAAAAAGGAAAGACAGCGAGAAAACAGGGTTATTCATTTGCGGACAACAAAAGGCAGATTTTCACAACGGTTACCAGGAAGTAAACGGGATTCTCTGAAATGTAAACGGGGTTCTGGACCGGCTGTCACTCAATTAGCACAAGCCCAAAGCTCAGCATTATGCCTGCATCGCTCCTTTGTCTACAGCAAATGGTGGGTAACGCAGCAAACTGGGGCACTGCTTCGGCTACCAACTGCTCCATTCAAGTCTGGACAACACGATTTTAAATGAAATGATACGTTAGCTTCGGAATACTCTGGATCATACTGTGTGTATACTGTTGTAACCATGCTCATAGCTCTGCAATTTCTAAGCGATAATTCAAACCTGCTTTACGAAAATACCGACTTTTATTAAATATTTGAAAAGACAAAACTGTTTTTCCAGCTGAAAACAAGGAGGAAAGTTTACAAAGACAGAAAAAAGACCAGCTGTAATTTCTGATTTTTTTTTTATATGATGCATGGAACCAGATGCATCTACGTTCAAAGGATGTCACTTGGTCTGGCCAGTATTCAGTCCTACTGAATGTTGGCATTGTGAAATGCTAAAGTAGCAGGGGAGCGACGGATGGGAAAATCGGGCCCACGGGATTTGCTACGGTTTGAAGAAACAACTGGGCAGTGAATGCACATTTAGAGGAAAGCTTTTGAGGAAAATGTCCTGTATTGAATGGGAGAAATTCCTCTTGTTCTACAACAAAAGAACTTTCTTGAAAACAGAAAAGCAAAACCAATCAATTAGAAACTGGATTGTGATATGAGTTGGATGCAAGAGAGAATTGATTAGGAAGCAACTCAGGGGCTGGATTCTCTCATTCACTTGGACAATAACAGGAACTTTGACAACTAAGTGTCCGATGTTCAGTTGGGGAGTTCAAGTTCACAAAAGGTTTCACCCTCAGCTCAAACTCCTGGGGCCTACAAAGTTTAGACTGAAGTGGTTTGAACAAACACGAGTATAAAGATTGAAGAACTACCACTTCAGACGATTCGGAAACATTAATTTGCTGAGCTTTGAACTGTGTTGCATGTGATGCTGGTAGGAGCAAAAGATCACACTTTGTGCAAAGACGATAAAACATTTAGTGGTTCAGACGTGTTCTTTTGGATTCTGGGTGAATTTTAAATGAATTCAGCAGCTGTGGCACCACTTGGGATCAAGCTGATGATGATACGCTCCTCTGACAATCTTCGTCTCTGCAGCAAGTACAGCTGAAATACACTTTTTTGCTTTCTTGTAGAGAGTTAATTCACACTATGCATGTGTGTCCGTTCAATAGCAAGTAGGAGCCACAACACAATTAGCTTAGCTTAGCAGAGGAACACAGTGAATCACCAAACACCACCTTCAAAGATTGTCAATTGTTGTTGTATCTCATACAGGTTATAACATGTTATTACATATTTTATTTATTTGTCTAACACTGAATGAGAAAGCAAGGAATAGTTGCAGTATTCCTTCATGTCCTTCCTTCATTTTTATATTTCTTCTCATAAAATAAATGTTCATGCTTCAAAAACCCTTAAACTTTTCTTTGCAGTGGAGTAACAAAGGATTGCATTGCAGCGTCAAAAGGTTGCGAATAGTCGGTTGACATAAGAGAGCAAATTAAGGTTGTTAAAGATTATTTCTTATGATTTATTAGCGTTAATATTTCTACTGATTTAAATATACAAACCTATGGAACAGAAGATAAAGGACATGCAGAATGTTTTGTCGATTTGCTGTAATATCTGGTTACGCCACCAGGTGGAGTCTCTTACAGTTTATCACTATAGCAACCAGAGGAGGCGGTTACTCAGACAACAAGCAAATTTGTGATGCAAACCAGACCCGAGCTAGTAAAATGCCACCATGAGAAAGTCTACTGTGGCGCGTAACGCCTACCGACCATAACTCTTGGTTTGTAAGTGAGCTGATGTGCATCATGACAACGTGGAGGTGGCTGATTGTCTTCGCCATTAGAGAGGCCCATGTCAACACCCACGACATCAGGATATGGAATGATGTCCACTGAGCTCATTTTGCGTGTCTGATTAAAAAGGCAACTGGTTGTCATTTAAGAGCCTTAATTAAAATTTGCATCCATAGAGCAAATACAAAACACCACCTGCATAATGGCTCAAAGTAGCCAAAAGTACGTTTTTCCCTTACGGAGGTCTTGTTGCTGAGATAGTGAGGCATACACAGAAGCAATTTTTTTACATGGATGAGCTCTCATTGTTTTCTTTGAATCCCTGAAAAGGAAGTGCATGCGGTTCATATTCCTGTTTTCTTAGAACATCTCCGTGAAGATACACCTTCCTCTTCCCTTGCTTATCAGTCAGCTGAGGCTATTAGAGCCTGCGTGAGACCAGCAAACTCCTGACTCAGCAAAAAAAGTAATCCCTGCCATGAAATGGGACAATCACGCCATCGACAGACAAAGGGAGAGACGGTGAGAGAGAACACTGTAACACCAACTACCAGCTGTGCAAGCAGGCTCAGCCAGCCCATTGTGTTATAATACCCCTCACACTTCCTGTTGACCCTTCACCTTCCTCAGCTCGCAGTTTCCTGCAGGTAGTGCATGTGAACCCTCCAAACCCCCGAGCATTTTTTTGCTCTTGTGACTTTTTTTTTTACTCACTATGGGCTCATTTATTTATGCAATATAAAGTCCTGCACCTCTGTGGAAGCAGCACAACCACTGCTGAATGTAAAATTGCGTCCTGCGCGGTTTAACAAAGTTTTCGTGCCGCACCACTTGTGGAGCAACTTGTTCACACTTGTGGAGCTTTGACACGTGTTAAAGCGTGAAAGCTCTGATATTACACCTGCTGTCTGTTTGCTGTCACACAACCTGATGGAAATCTACTTGCAACACAACTTTGCATATTCGGCTTCCTGTTTGCGAAGTGCAGAGAACACAGATAAGATGATGCCTCGCCAGAGCATCGGAGAACATCGCCACTTGGCACTGGAAAGCCATATTCCTAACACCACACAATCCTCTTCATCACTCTGAAAGTCTCAGAAAGAGTGCATTCACCTACAAAAAGCACCTCCCTGCACCTCTTTTGAAGAGAAATGAATTGCTCAACAGAACTCAGAGTTGTGGACATTTATAGAGCAGATGTATTTACTCATATAACAAAACTATTGATCCAGGAACGTAGCAAATATCTGTCGCCAGCAAAGCTTCATCAAAGTATCTCTAGGTCGCATGCTTGATTTATCAACTAAAAAGTTAACAAAACATGGTGTCTGGTCTTGGAAATCAGATGTGTTTATGCAGATTAACCAGGTGCCTACATTGAGAGCGTAGATGTATTTAAACATCGCGTTGACAGAGAGATTCAAACCCCAGTTTTTTAAATCATGGCACAAAGTGGGTTTGATGCTGAGATTTCAAAACTCATCATGTTGCATGATCTTCAAAAAAGCTAGTGATTCTTGCATAAAAATAAGTCTGCAATAATTGTGATAATTTGGATAATATATATACTCCTGGACTTTTCATAGACTCGGGGAATTGAAGACATGTTTGTGCAGCACTCTGTGTGATCACTACTTGAAAAAATAAACTCCTTCTGCAGCAGGAACACAAAGAGGAGGAGACGGTAAAGAAACCCCCGAAGAGACGAGGAAGTAACAGGTAGCAAGGGAGCGGCCGAGTGGGGAAGATGAAAAACCCAAAACACACAAGAGTCTGGACTTTGATCCGGCTGCACAGAACAACGGGCGGTACCGGCAGTTACAGAGCGAGGGTTTGTGGTGGTGGGGTGCCTGCAACTGATGCTCCAGCTGAGGAAACATGATAAGAAAATAGGGGAAAGCTGATGCTGAAGAGCGAGGAATGAGCCTCGAGCTACCTCAGCCCCATCATCACAGGAAGTTGTCTGCTACCTTCAGCAACTCAATAATAAAAAAAAATACATCTATCAATTTCTCACAGGCTCCCGTTTCCTCAGAACAATCGATGAGGTTTTTTTGGGGGGTCTTGAAATCCCTGCTAGAGGGTGGTTTGAGGAGAGGGGGTGGAGGGGGTAAACAAGTAGAGCAGGAGCCCCAACCTTGACAGATCACTGAAGCAGACAAGTGGAAAAGTCCCAACTGGGTTTCTGGCTCAGCTGAGGCTTTGTTCCAACCGATGGGTCTCGTTAGTTAGATGTCGAGGAGAAGAAAGATGCAGTAAATGTGAAATATCGGGCTCGTTCTGGGCTTTTCATTACTACCACACCCATGAAGCCTAAAACAACAATTAAGGACAAAGCCAGACAACAAATGAACAGCTTGGACGCCCACGGTGCATATTTTTTAAGGGAACACACCCTTAAGTGTTTGATCGATGCCACCCTAAATCAAATGTCCTCATTTTTAAAGGGCGTTTGACTTTGATCACATCATTAAAGAGCCCATATCATGCATAAGTACAGGTTAAGGATTCTACTTCAGTTTCTAATATTATATGTTTACAGGCTCAGAAAACACAAACTTTTCTCACACTGTACATCACTGCAGTATTTTTTGTCAAATGCTCCGTTTTAGCTCCGGTCTCTTTGTTGTCGCTAAAAATGCATCCACGTCCATATTTTGAACTGACGGTCATTCTCTTTTTCCTAATTCAATTCTTTATAATGAATGTTTTTCTTCTTCTGTGGTGACATTAGTTGTTTCTACCTTGATTTTAGCTCATTGGTTAAGCTGCAGCTTTACGCTTTGGCACCGGCAGCAGCAACTCTGTTAAAAGTAAAAGCTTCCAAAAGATCTGAGGCTGTAGGAGTTTGAGAGAGCACTCGCAGTTATAATGGAAGAAAAATGTGGTTTGTACACTGTATAGAGTTTCAGTGGCGTACCACAGCTCCACGGCGAAATGCTCCGGCACCTGAAGAGAGGCCCGGCTCGGCACAGGGGAACTTCTCACACGTACTGTATTTCAGTACAGTCAAATTCAGAATAAAGCTTCTCTTACTTACATATTTCTCTGTTTCTGTTGTCAGATAATGGAATGAGTGTGAAATAGTGACTGAAACGCATTTTCATTTTCTGCCGCCCTGCACTGCTAAAATCCTGATTTTGGAATCAAGACGTTTGGTGATTGTTTTCATAGAATTCAAAGCTCCACCATCTCCACTTGCTTAATATACTGAATGAACCTTTTCACTTTGCTAAAGTATAGAAACTTGGATTTTCTTCTGCCCTCTGTCGCCAGATCAATGCTGCAGTTTTGCACCTAAATATAAAAAAAAATCTGTGCTGGATCATACAATAAAATACAGGAAGTCAAAATAAAATGAGCTGAAATTAAGCTGTTATTTTGTTTTCATGTAGCCAAATCAATCATTCAAATTAATCAATTAATCTATAAAATTTAGATATAACTGATAGAAAAGCAGTAATTAGTGACAGCTCTACTTTGAATAAAAGTGAGAATCTTAGCTCAGGTAGAAGTGGCTCTAGGGAGGAAATAATGGCAAGCTGCTCATTTTTTGGTTGGAAAATGCGCCAAACTAGCCGATAGTCAGTTATTATGCAAATATGTAACACTGTGGCGTCGACACGTAACAGAGAACGATCAAACGAGGTGTTTCAGGCAGGTTAGGAACAGGGATTTATGTGCAAGAGAATAATAATTAGACCTCTTAATGCAGAAAAAAAAAGCTACATAACACTAAAAACCAAAAAAAGCACAATATGAGCTCTTTAAGTTGTTCATTACGTCATCTCAGTAAACATCATCACAGCTGACCTTCACAGACTGATAGTGCAGTTGATAGTAATTCACATCTCCAGACACTTTTATGTGTGTGAATATGTTTATCCTCTGCACCACAGATGTAGTACGCTGCTGTGGGTGTTGAAGGAAAGTCTACCTTCTAACAATCTGCAATAAGCGCCGCCACAAGTGATCACCTCCTTAAAATTCTGCTCAGAGCTGCTTTCCAACCACTCGGCGCTGGGATTTGTTCTCTAATGAATAGCAGAGGCCTGACGGAGGGAGATGGCTCAGACCATCCGGGCCAATCAGGCTTGTTTTTGCTCCCCCGATTGTTCTGAGTTGCAGTGAACTCAGTCTTCTCCACCACTCCCAATTCTATATCACCTATAGTTGGACTAAAGGGAAGGGGAAGGAAAAAAACAACAACAAAAAACAACTGAAGCTACAGAAAAAGAACAGGAAAAACACATCCACACCACAGCATGACGACATAATGCCAAAGCATGAATAACAACACACTAAAAACAGTCTGGGCTGCTTTGCTAAGGAAGTGAGGCCCACTTTGTTGTGTTTTTTTCCAGATTTGTAGACAATGAATACTTCACAGAGCCTGTGCAACTGCAAATGTAGGTTCAGGCCTTTAAACTGTGGAGACGTGATTTGATCAACCTGTCGCAATGCAACATTCCTGACACGTGTTATTCAAAGAGACTGGTTATTTAGTTTGCACAATTCAGTCATTTATAAGTTGGTGCAAGTCATGGTGACACAGTGCTTCTGGTATGGACATGTCAAAACCTACGGTGTTGCACAATATACTGAATGATGGAGGCAGCCAGGTGTGGAGAGAAGAATTGACTCTAATTTCTCTTTCAGGTGACAAGAAATTGACCGAAACACATCTGCAGATGGGGATCCATGACTAAACTGAATATTAGAGGTGTTGTGTTGCAAAACGCCAAGGGCAGTGTGATCTATTGACTTCAGACATCACAAAAGGTGCTGAGAAATCCTTCAGCGACAGTGTTTTGCTCGTTACTTAATACGAGAGCGGTAGCTGAGCCACTGCTTGGCCTACATCCCGGTGGCTTGAAGACAGATGTCGAGCTCTTCTTCGAGCTAATGCATATGTGGGGCAAGCCAGAGGAAAAAACAATTACATAACAAAGAGAGTATATCCAGGGATTAAATGAAAACTGGCACCAATGCCAACAGGAGACAACTTGGCAAACTGGATGCTGGTTTTGGTTAAAGGAGGTCAAATGTCAAGTTTGCTCTGGTAGATGATATATGAAAGGGAAATGCATGCTTCTTGTTGGGTTTTATACCCAGTGGAGGCTGGAAATATTCAAATGCATTCATGCATTTTGCACAGGATCGTACAATAAATGCATATTAATATATCAGAAGGCACTTTCTTGGCTTTAAAGCTGCAGGATTTAGTGCAAATAAGTGAAAAGCAGCTACATGCTCTGCAGAACATCCTTCATGGAGGCAGAGCAGGACATGCACGGGCAGAGAGCCCCAATAAAGGCTCGGCCACCCAGTCAATGAAGAGGCGCTTGCAGGTTACCTCACACATCCGCACCGGAGCCGATCTGCTTACCGTGTCCGGTTCCGGAGAAAGATCAGTTTAATCAGGGGGTGTGTGAAATTCACCAGCCCGTTCTTGGAAATGCTGGTGACCCGCAGCCTGTGGTCCAGTATGTGTAAGTCCATATTCCTGGTTTGCTTGCAGCGGCGGCGGCTCTCCACTCGGAAAAAACAAGAAGACGCTTTCTTCAGCGGAGCGAGATCATTCAAATGTTAAATATAGGCCCCGCTGCTGAGCACCGCAGACGACCGACAGCTCCACGTCCCGCTGCGATAGTCTCGCAAGACGAAAAAACATCCGACGCAATCGGATTCCAGCCCCGCTGAACTACTGTATATTCAAATAACAGGGACAGCCCCGGAGACGACACGCCCCCTCCTCTTAAAGCCGCAGCCTCCGCGTTAAATGTCTTCCACATGGTGGCCGCTGGTCAAGCTGAACGGTGCGAGCAGGCACACGACTTCCGGCTATTCCAAAATAAAAGCACGCAGGAGTGGGGTTATGCCATTTCAAATCATCAGGAGCCTTTGAAACTGTTTTTATCATGAACTATAGATATCTAATGTGGTGTCTGTGACTCACAAGCTTAACAAAACCACGAGTAAATGCCACACATATTGTACATTATACAAGGATCAGACATGCTACCAGTATTTAAAACAGTGATTCAGTGAGTTTAAAGTTGATCACAACTTTAAGCTGGGTCGTTCTTTCTTGAATTATTTTTAGAACAACTTCTGCTCAGTTATTTTATAGCATAACATATTTTTTTTTTTAAAAAGATATTTGTGAATGTTCAGCTTGATATAACAGAAACTTTGAGATTTAAAAAAATAAAGCCTGCCGAATTCAGTTAAAAAAAAAAATAAATAAAAAATGCCCATAAGAAAATAAATTATTTTCCAAGTTATATTTGGAGAAACATTTTGAAACTCCAGAACTCTGTTCTTCTAGGTTCAGGCCATCTAGCAATACTTTAGTTTTTGTGGTACAAATGTTGTAAAAGTTGAACAATCATAACTTTCTATGTGCCTCAATGAAGCATTTTTGTATTATTAAAAATGATTCTATGTGTTTTTTTGTTTTGCGTTATTGTGTATTGACATCTGTAGTATCAATCTTTTGAAATACCCATTTTTTTTTGCTAAAAGAATTTTAAGGCAAATCAGAGATGGTCAAGCAGGACTTGTTCTGAGACAGAATGCCCCAGAGTTTAAAATAAAATAATTATAATAATAATAAAAAAAGTAACTCAACCTAACCTCCTACTGGGTCAAAACGGGACAGAACACAGGCTGAGTTGCTTTGACCAAAGCTCCTGCATAGCTACTGAAGTTATTAATTATCCAACTTGTACCACGACTCATATCGTCATCCGTGGCATAAACATTCAATACATACTTTAGCATGTAGGCCAAACACCGCCTCTGGACTGTAGTCCAAATCTGCAAATATCAGTGCAGATAAAGTAAATATTTTTTTTAGATTCATGTGTCACCTACAACTTGACTGATTGTATGAATGAAGCTCAACTTATGTGTCTGAGCCAGCTTTTATTTTGAAAATACTGCCCACTTCACATCAGAAGTTCCAAGTTCCACATTTGCTCCTGGCAGGCTCTTTACACATCTTACTGTAAATTTAAGTCAGCAAAATAAATGAGGTAGTCTGACATCATTCATTTTATCAAACACCTGTTGTACATTCAGTGGTATGAAGCTTACTGTGATCTCATTCAGCGTGATTCATGAACAGTCACACAATCTGGGTGGAGATTAATCCTTCATTATGGAGAAACTGTTGTCAGTCCACTACAATAAGTCATGATAAAAACAATACTGCACCTCATTCTGCTTAATCATAATTTAAAATCACTCTGTGGCACGATACTACACACATCAGTTTGGATTTCATTGGGTTATTCATTTTTCCAAAAGTCCGGAAATCTGCATATTTCAGGATGCTCAAAGAAATGCACACAAACACTGTGGCGCTACATTTCATGACTCACCGGCTGGAGTGCAAATACAAAATCCGAAATCTTAAGACACTTAAAGTAACACAAATCATCCTGCAGATTAAAAACAAAATAAATCCACAATCCATAAGACTAAGGAGTCACAGTGAGTAGTAGCCGTTGAGCTGCTCACAGTTGGAGCCGCCGTCTCACTGCAGTGGTGAACTCTTGGTGGGAATCATTATTCTAGACTCCATACTTCTGATCAAAGGCACTGAGGACAAAGAAAGACATGGAAAGAAACATGTTACCAATTCTGCTTCATTTAAACATCATGGACAGAGTGGAAATGACCATCTTAAAGCACAGCAGAATTCTCCAATTACAGTTTTACTCTATCAAGATATGCTATATGTAAACATCTTCCTAAAAGTAAAGCAGGATATTAGTGTTAATTCAAAGTTTGACGTGTGTATCTATTGTAAAACAGAGTTAAAGTAATTGAGGCACTTACTGTTTTCAGTGAGTTTACCATGTTTTATTATCCCTGACAAAATACTTTTATTTTGTAGAAACATTTCTATGGTTACAGTTGTGTCTTTATGAGTGCATTATCCATCCATCCATCCATCCATCCATCCATCCATCACAATAAAAGCCTCTCTCAAATAAACTAACACATATTGTTAAACTTACCTGCTCACTTTGCTGCTGCAAACTACTCTTGCCTATGTCATTTCTTTGGTTCTCTTCACCTCCTCAGAATCCTCCTGTGAGTTTTGTTCCCTACAATATCTGAAGAGGATATGAATTCATCTGTCCCTAAGTGTTTGGATTTGTTTTCTTTTGGGTCACAAGAACAACAAAATTTATGTTTAGAGAAAAAAGGTTTGTCTGTTAATTATTGGGAAAACGTGTCATTAACGTGAATGCTGTCACTTTTACTACAAACATTTTGGCAGAAATATACTCAAAGTTGCTGAAAGAAATACTTTCATGATTAAATGAACCTTAAAACACTGATTCTCAACTCCAGACACTAATTGGACCTGAATTTGTGATAAATTGTCACCTTTTGCACCACCACAAAGAATATTGTGCTGCATGCTGCAAAGTTGCATATAAAAGTAATTTAATGAGGCATAAAGTATCTTTGGCTCTGTGGCAGCCTTTTTATTGGGAATATTTGTGTGGGCAGAGCCCTGCTGTCTTACCTGTATAAAACACATTTACATCCCAGCCCTCCTTCAGCCAGGCAGAGTTTCTCGTCTCCTCTCGGGAATGGAGGCTTTCATAAGCTATAAAAAAAACAAACACAGTAATTAATGCAAGTCCAATAAAACATTCTGAATCACTGTGGATTCAAAAATGATCTGATGGTGTGATTAATCGAACTGAACAGAGCCAAATAATCTAAGTATTACGATGTTTAACCCTTTTTCATTTGCCTAGCTGCTTTCCTACATTTTGCACATTGTGATTAAATTCATGCATCAACATTAAAACAGGTAGAGTTTGTTGTTGTTGTTATTTTGCCTTTCTTATACCATATACAGTCCAGACAACAAGTATTTGGCCCATTACACACTTTTTGAGTTCTCTAGGCTTTGTGCTTCTGCACATTTAATTTGAGAAAACAAAAACAACGGATCCTACATTAAAGTCTCAGCTGAAAACATTATAAGATGTTTGTGTAAAAGCCCTTTTGAAACATAGTGTGCACATGGCAAGGGGTGAAAAGTAACCTGGCACTTGGTTAATAAATGTCTGTTAGGCAGCTGTGTTGTTTTAATGTTAGCTCAGACACAGAAGAGCTCACACATGGCTCAAAGTTGGTTAAGAATGACCATGTTGATTATTTGATCAATAACTGCAAGATTTTCAATGCATGGGGAATTATTGGATGTTTTATTCAGCCCCCAAGAAAAATAACCAGCACTAAAATGATAAGAACAGAGAAAAATAACACTAATTCAATGCTTCTAATCTGTTTTGTTATTTAGGGTTTCATTGACTTCAGCATTAAAGACATTTTCGTTCATCAAATGGTCCGAAATAACAGGAAAATACATAGTTTCCTGTCAAATAAGGTAACGCAGGCTCATTGAATTTACTGTACACGGATCAGTTATGTTTACTGTTGTAGGTAGTCACACCCCAAAGGTCCGTACTGAGTCAGGAAAAACTCTGACGAGACTCAATATGTTGTCTGTCAATATGAGAAAATACAGATGTGACCGTGCACGAAGAGGGAAATAATGAGGCGACAGAGACAAACAAAAGGTAAAATACACATCAAAATGTTGGTTTTCCAAAATCAGCAGCTGGGTTTGTTGGATGAGAGCAGGTGCACACAGGAACAAAAATGATAAAAGGTTTTGCTAGTTTGAGGAGCACAAGTCTTCAATATTAAGGGAGATTGAACCCTTGTCCTTTGGGTAAGCCGAACTGCAGTTCACAAAAAAAACCTAGTCGAGTTGTGGAACAAAGTTCTGTGGATTGACAGAACAAAGACCAATCTTTGGAAGGAATGTGTGCAGAAATAAAGAATAGCTCTTGGCCCAGCGCTCCACCTCCTCCGTCAAATGTGGTGACAGTTCCTGTATGACTTGGGCGAGTGTGGCTGCCAGTGGAGCTGTCACATCGGCATTTATTGATGGTTTTACTGCAGCGAAATGATTTCATCATTCAGCACAACAACAATCCAGCCAAAGCAGCCATAGAGCTTTTCAGATTGGTCAACGTGTTCAACTTGTTAAGAACTGCTCACCTCTCAAAAATGCAAAACAACACCTTGTTTTTATGTTTGTGTTACTCACCCCACAAGTGATGAACAACATACAGGTCACCGATCTGGGAGAAGAACCCGCCTACTGCCTCGTTGTTTTCCTGTCTGTGTTTGATTGCCCTCGCCCTGTGGTAAAACACGTTGTCGTCAGGGTTTCTGGATGGAACACCTTTGACAATCAGTGCTTCAGATTGTAAGCATTACAAACTGTCCTTACCAGTGGTTGCCCCATTCAATCATGGTTCCGGGCTGCAACACATGTGGTAGAGCGTTAACATGGTTTAATATATGACATGACACTGCTCCACCATGCAGAGGGTTCTTTTAAATACACTTCGCATAGCCTAAACAGTAAAAGCGCTATTTATGTAATGTTTACAGCTTGTTTATTTTAAACAGACCAGGGAACTCTGTGTCACATGAGCTCACACACAGGCAGCACTTGAGTACTGGTTGCACACACATTATTAAGTGAACAAGTTACTCCTCAGCTCCATTAGTCACTTATGAATGAGTGCAAATTACACTTG